CAGCACTATTCACAGTAGCCAATATTTCTAAACCGAAATTGCCAAGAAAGAACAAAGAGGATAAACTGTAATACAGATACAAAATGGACTACTACACAGCTATAAGAAAAAAGGAAATGATATAATTTGCTGTTACATGGATATAATGTAGAACTAGAGAATATAATGCTACTGGAGTTTAGCCAGAGAGGAGGACAAATTCAGAATAAACTCATATCAGGAACATAAAGAAACAAAATAGGGAAGGGGGAGGGGGGGGGGGGAACACCAACGGTAGCGTAACCTGAAAAGCAGCACTCAGAGTAGAGTATGCGAAGGAGATGGGGTCAGGGTATGGGTAGGGACACTGAAACCATTTGGTGTTCATTTTGGTGGTGGGTGTGGAACTGTATACCACTGTAACTCTCATTGCTTGAAACTCTATCAATAAGCACATTCAAATTGTAGAAGCTAAATAAAACTTAGGGGAGGGGAGACTCAGGGAAAAAAGAAAGGTGATGACTTACTTGAAGAGGGCGAAGGTAAGTCAAAGACTTCTTCCACCACTGCCCGTCACTGACAGCCTGAAGCACCGCGCGGGTGGTGGTCGTGGTATTGGAAAGGACCTTCATGGTGGTGGCAGTCGTCCACTGGAGTAGGTCGGAGGAGCTGCTGCCTGCAACACCGCCTTCCTCCTAGGATCAAAACAGAACCAGGAGCTGTGAAGCCGTGCACCGTCACTGGAGCAGGGCGAGAGTAAGGACATGACTCCTTAAGAGCATCACGCAGGCAGATAAAGAGAGATGCAGAATCTTTCTTGGCAAAAAGATATGAGCCAAAGCAGTAAGCACAATGGATATCCGTGAATCATTTATGAAAGAAAAGTTGGTAAAAGACACAAGACCCAAGTAAGTGTCAGGCCTTTAAAGTGTCTTTGTAAACTGGCATGAAAATGTAAAGGAACCCCACCCCCAACACCACCACCACCCAAAAAAAAGATACTACTGGGGCTGGAGAAATAGCACAGTGGGTTGGGCGTTTGCCTTGCACGCGGCCGACCCGGGTTCAATTCCCAGCATCCCATATGGTCCCCTGAGCACCGCCAGGGGTAATTCCTGAGCACAGAATCAGGAGTAATCCCTGTGCATTGCCGAGTATGACCAAAAAGCAAAAAAAAAAAAAAAAGATACTATTGAAATTCCCTTTCCTTCATTTTGTCACCATTTGAGGGGAGGGCAGTAGATGGCTCTTCTCCACTATGGTCACAGAGGCAGCTGACACATCACTTCAGACTTGAAAGGAAAATAACAAGCTGCCCATACATGCCAATCATGCAAGCCAGAGATCCCTAAGTCTAATGAGGGCTCCCTCCAGCCAAGGAGCTCTGCAGTGGCACATAGGCCCTGCCCTGATACGGCCGTAGGTCTCTTACTGCGGGCCAGCTAGTAACTGTGCATGTGACCCACCCAGTGTAGCTGTAACCACACACTCTGTGGGTAATGGCCTTGGAAATCACGCCTGCTCTCCTCTAGTCTAATCTGGGTCTCTCCCTCCCTAACCCACAACCCATCATTGAGCAAGGAAACCCTGCCCTAAGCAAAACGGCACTATGGCCCCTCTAGGAACTGGATGTACAAAAGTTTTTGCTCGCTAAAAGCAAATCTCTGAAGGAATGTGTAGTAACTATACATGGCCTTTCTGTATTTTATGAATGTGCATCAGCACATCTGTCTGTGTATCTATATGGATGTGCTGCATATAAATATACATAAGGTGTACAGTAAGTAGCACTTTTTGTTTGTTTATATTTGGCTTTTTTGGGTTACACCCAGGGCAATACTCAGGGGTTACTCCTGGCTCTACACTCAGGGATCACTCCTGGTGGTGCCTGGAGGATCATATGGGCTGCCAGGGTGCAAAGTGCAAGGCAAACACCCTACGCGCTGTACTATCACTCCGGCCCCATTAAGCACCACTTTCAATTTTTTTTACCATTGAATCACAGTGAGATACATAGTTACAAAGTTATCCATCACTTGGTTTCAATGTTGCAACACCTGTCCTCACCAGGTCCATCTTCTACCACCAAAGTCCCCAGTTTCCCTTCTGTATCCCGCCTCTCCATACCCACTTCTGTGCAGACACTTTTCCGCCCTCTCTCCCTCCCTCCCTTCCTCTCCCTCTTTCCCCCTGCCCCTCCCTCTTCCTTCCCCCCCCCCCCTCTCTCTCTTCACCCCCTCCCTACCTTTGGCCATTACTGTTTGCAATACAGATACTGAAAGGATATCATGCATATCCCTTCACTTACTTTTGACATTCAGTTCTTGTCCAGTGTGATCATTTCTAACTATTCTTTTCATATGGTCCCTTCTCTATCCTAACAGCTGAATAGTATCCCATTGGGTAAAGGAACTTAATATAGAGAAAGTTTCACGAACTTGCATGTCATCCTTGAGTAGGAGACATGCTTATGATCTCTGTATCGTTCCAATTTTAGTCTATGTGCTGCTGAAGTGACCACAGTAAGCAGCATTCTTAATTGCATCTTTTAATTACTTTTATGGATACACTTAGGGGGAAAAAAATTCACCTACTCAGAAAACACTGATGAAAAGTCTGGCTTAGGGGAAAATAAGAAGCAAGAAACAAAATAGCAAACTGAAGGAACCTGAAGGTATAAAAAAGACACACACACAATAAGGCAAGACCTAAGGGCGAGATGAAGACAGGAGTGACATGAGCAAGACACTAGCCAAAGCACCTCCAATGCGACCCTGAAAGGTGAGGGGCCACGCAAAATCATTAAACAAAAAGTTATATAACCAGACTCATGTTTCAGAACTGTTAATCCAGTCACAAAAATGCATTATTGCTATATTGGTTCAAGTTTAAAATAATCAGGGATTGAATTGCAGATGATGCCAGAAATACATGGGTTACCATTCCACCTACATGCATACATTATATATTTTTTCTAATTCATCCAAAGCTGTAAAGATCCTGATTAAGTCACAAACGCAGACAAATTCGAGGATTCTAAATCTAGTCATCTAAGGAAGAAAGTTGATGGTACCCAGATGGGTCTGGGTGAAGATCAGAAGGGGGTGGGGGCAGGACTATCAGGCACACAGCAAATGCCAATGGTCTGTACAGATCAGGTGCAGTGAAGGTGACAGGGAGCCAAACGAGTTGTTGAAGAAGAAATGATGTAAGGAATAGAAAAGAAAGATGTAAGAAATACCTTTTACTGAAGGTAACATCAGGAAATCTTGCTTTTGTTATTGAAAGAATCATAATGACTATCACTAAGAAATACCTACTACAGGTAGGTTACTGGGAAAAGAGTTTGATAAGGTCATTACTGGCTTTTACAATTTAACACTAAATGTAGGTATCAGAATATCATTTGGAAGAAAATTACAGATCCGATAAGTTGAGCCTAAAGACAGTTGGCTTTAAGATTTTTTCCTTTATTCTTGATCGAGGCTATGATCAAAACATGTTGTCTGGAATCTGCAGTGTCTGACATGCTAGTAATATTACACTCACACACAAATTTGTACTGATTTAATTTCATTTATTCTTCACATTATTTATTCTTCATATTATTTAAAAAACTCCAATTTGGAGTTATCAATAGTGCTGCCCTGAGCATGCAAGTAGTCATCTTTTGAGGAATATATGCATTTAGTTGTAGACAAATTTAGTAGATATTCAATATACATATAAACAGACAATAAATACTGCCAAATATTTTTGAAAAACCATTATACTAAAAAGTCTGTTGCTCTGCATCTGTGGTAATACCTAGTATTTCTCATGTCTTTTTCATTTTAGCAGTTCCAGGAATATGTAAAGGTTATCTTCTGGAAGGCTTAATTTGCACTTCTCCAGTGACTGATGAAATAAAATACTTACATTTATTTCTGGTCACTACATTCTTCCTGTGAGGAACCTGCACAAATATACTGCACATTTTTCTTTTGGTTGTCTTTCTCATTTACGTATAAGAATTATTTTTAGTTTATTGTTTTTATTTTGTTTTTGGGCCACAGCCGGCAATACTCAGAGGTTACTCCTGGCTCTGCACTCAGTAATCTCTTCTGGCGATGCTTGGGGGAACCATATGGGATGCCAGGACTAGTCGTATGCAAGGCAAGCACCTGAGTATCTCTTTAGTCCTAAGAATTCTTTATAACATCCCATATTAGATAAGTAAATTATGAATTTTATTACTCAATATTCTGTATTTTCAGTATTTTCAAGCAGTACTTTGCTTGACAGAAATTCCCAATATTTTTCTTAGCCCAACTAACATGACTGGCATTTTCTTTTTTTAAACTTTAGACTCTTACTTTAAAGAAATGTAAAATCAATTTTTCCTAAAGTCACAAGGATGTTTTTCTCTATTTTCTTTAATATGCAATATTTCTAGTATGAGCTGAATCCTGATAAAGAAAACATATTCCTCTACCATGTACTCATAACATTATATACAAACTGTAAATGTACTTCTCTTTATACTGTGATTTTTGTTTTCATTTGTAATTCGGGGACCCCACCGTGTACTGGCAGTGCTCAGGGATCGCTCCCAACAGCGTTTGGAGAATCATGAATGCTTGCCTTAAATCCTGTACTATCCCTCTGGTCTGATAATTGTGCTTTTTATTGTTTGTCCCTTCCCAATTAAACTACAGCTTTCCGCAGCAGAAACTGTATGTTCAGAGCATTTTATCAACCCTAATTTGTAGTTAGGATCTGCGGATAAGTGTAAGAAATCTTGTTTTACTGCATTGTTTAAATGTTTTAAGATGCATTTTCTAAAGCCTAATATGTTGTGCCTACAGTAGCTAAGTAGAATTTCAAGTCACATTTTCGATTCTTGTTCATCTTTAGAATCTTCTTAATTGAGAGGGCGTACTGAATGATTTGAATATCATTAAGTAATTCAAGTATAGAACTAAAAATGTAAACATAGTTTGAAAAATATGGTAGTTAAACAGAATAAAACTTCAGAAGAAAATCAAATCAGCAGTAAGATATAAAAAAATCAGGCTATTCTATCTCATTAAAAACTCTAAACTTTACTTCTGTCCATATGGGTAAGTTGGCTTAAGATAGGAAATTAAAATACAAAACTTACAAGTTTGATTCAGAAGATAAAAGTTAACAAGGCTCAAAATGCACCAGATAAATGGCTTTCTATAAGAAATTGCTTCTAAAAAGAATTACAAAAGACAAACGAAAACAACAGGTTCATTTGGACCAGAAAAGAATTTAATTTGGGGGCAGTCTACTAAGATTTTAGTGTAACCAGAGTCATTAATGAGGAAAATGGTTTTCCTTTCAACTTCATATAATGAGGAAAGGAAAAAAGAGGTTAGGCAAAATTCACTCCCAAAATGATTACTACTGACACTTTTTATATTCAGAGCCGCACATTGCTAATTAATTTAGAGTGTATAACAGCAGAAATAGATTAATTCCCAAAACCAAATCAACAACTCCCAGCATAAAATTTAACATGAAATCTGATTAATGTCAAGTGTATTACACAGCTAAAAAGGTTAAGTTACTAAGCACTAACAATATTTTCACATCCTACAACAGACACCATTTCCAAAGAGGTTCACCAACTCCAAAATAGCTTCCCGTGTCAAGACTCACTAACAGCAACAATTTTTGTTACTCAATTGTTGTTAATGAACAATATATTTCTCTCTGGTACCTGGTAATATACGGTTTAATTTCTGAGAAATCTGTACACTGAGCTGGTGCTACAGGACTAGGTGAGCACTGAAATGAGAGACTCATACTGAATTCAATCCCTATCTCTTCTTCTCCAATATACAATTATCTAACCCAAAGGACTTCCTTGCACCTATCACGTGTGGCGAATTTTATCCAGAAATCAGAATGTTAAGAATAATATTCTAAAGATTTCTAGACCTCAGGCAGGATGGGGACTGACCAAGTCCCGGTACTGCCAAAGGCCACCCACCCACATCCAGCTCCCACCAATGCCAAAAAAATGGTTCAGCTTCAGGACTCACCTCAGAGTGATCTCAGCAGCTGAGTCACCCCAGGAAGACCAGGAGCTACCAGGCCAAGATCTTTAGAGCCTTAGCAGAGGATGGGGCCAGACCGAGACCCTGCCCTGCCCAAGGGCTAGACACCCACCCACCCACATACAGCTTCTGTCACTGCCAGAGAAAATGGCTCAGGCTCCTGACTGATCTTGGTGAGATGCCAGAAAGACACCTGCTGTTAATCGCCCCAGTTCCAAAGCCCCTGAAGCATGTGGACACACATGCAACTCCTCCAAACTTTACAGAGCTGACAGAATATGCTTCTGAAGAAGCAAGAATATTAGATGAGAACACTGAGCAGCAGCCCCCTGAACCCAGTGAATGAAAACAATAACACAGAAGGCCCAGCTCATACCTGACAGCTCAGTAAATCCTCAAGCCATGACTGTCCTCACACTGCAGCACTGTAGCACTATCTTCCCGTTGTTCATTGATTTGCTCGAGTGGGCACCAGTAACATCTCATTATGAGATTTCTTGTTACTGTTTCTGGCATATCAAATACGCCACGGGGAGCTTGCCAGGCTCTGCCATGCGAGTACTCACACTATTATGAGATACGTGTTCAAATAAGCAAATTAAAGTAAGAGATAAGGGTACACTGGTGGTGGGATTAGTATTGGAATACTCAATACCTGAAACAACCATATTGTGGACAACTTTGTAAACCACAGTGTTTAAATAAAGACTTAAAACATTCCCCAAAAAAGATTATTTTTTCACCACTGATAAAACCTTTAGAAGTGTCGGTCAGAAGAAATCATAGAAAAATATTTCACGGAGCAAATGACTCTAAAATCTGACTCTGCTGCAAATCATCTGATAATTAAATAGGTCACATTACAATCAGAAAACTGTTTACCTTTGAGAGTCATGAAACCCATACATCTGATAAAAGATGAATCCTTGCGCCAGAAAATTGAATACTTATGGATGTACACAAATGAACACACACACAGACACACAGACACACACACACACACACATACACACACAGACACACACACATACCCCAAAGTCAGGTAATTATCTCAGGTATTTTCAGGGACTAAAATCTTCAAGGGTATCCTACAATGTCTGGACTAACATTAGTCCAGAATATTAAAAGACCCACAGTTAGAAAAAAGTAGAGGAGTAAGAAGTAATTTTTTCAATATTCTTTTTCCACGTTCAATTTTTAAAAGACTTTCAATAAGTATTGTAAATTCTAAATGGACCCACAAAGTAACTTTACCTACTGAATATTTCTGTCAGGCCTACTCCTATATTTAAGATCAGGTACTGGACAGCAAGATTACTATGATGATTATGAAAATAGTCCCTGCTTTTAAAGAACAGGACGTTAGGAAGAAAGGCAGAAAAAAGCAATTTGCAATTAAACCTATGAACTGAAAAGTTGTTTATCTACTATATATTTATCCCAACTCATCATA